ACTGGCCAGCGGCGGCGGCGGGTTGGCTTTGCAGCGGCGGCGGCGGCAGCGGGTGGGCTTGTTATGGCGGGTGGATTTGCGGCGGCGGCGGTAGCGGATGGGCTTGTAATGGCGGGTGGATTTGCGGCGGCGGCGGTAGTGGATGGGCTTGTAATGGCGGGTGGATTTGCGGCGACGGCGGCGGCGGAAGCGGATGGGCTTGCGGCGGCGGCCCCAGTCTTGTGGTATGATGTACTTTCAACACACACCCTGTATTCATCAAACCAGATCGCACGCTCTAGCGAGCGCGGGGGTAGCGGGTGGGCTTGTAATGGCGGGTGGATTTGCGGCGGCGGCGGCGGATGGGCTTGTAATGGCGGGTGGATTTGCGGCGGCGGTAGCGGATGGGCTTGCGGCGGCGGCGGCGTTAGCGGGTGGGCTTGTAATGGCTGGTGGATTTGCGGCGGAAGCGGATGGGCTTGCGGCGGCGGCCCCAGTCTTGTGGTATGATGTACTTTCAACACACACCCTGTATTCATCAAACCAGATCGCACGCTCCAGCGAGCGCGGGGGTAGCGGGTGGGCTTGTAATGGCGGGTGGATTTGCGGCGGCGGCGGCGGATGGGCTTGTAATGGCGGGTGGATTTGCGGCGGCGGTAGCGGATGGGCTTGCGGCGGCGGCGGCGTTAGCAGGTGGGCTTGTAATGGCTGGTGGATTTGCGGCGGCGGCGGTAGCGGATGGGCTTGTAATGGCGGGTGGATTTGCGGCGGCGGCAGTAGTGGATGGGCTTGTAATGGCGGGTGGATTTGCGGCGGCGGTTGAAGCGGATGGGCTTGCGGCGGCGGCGGGGGTAGCGGGTGGGCTTGTAATGGCGGGTGGATTTGCGGCGGCGGCGGCGGATGGGCTTGTAATGGCGGGTGGATTTGCGGCGGCGGCGGCGGCGGCGGTAGCGGATGGGCTTGCAGCGGCGGCGGCGGCAGCGGGTGGGCTTGTAATGGCGGGTGGATTTGCGGCGGCGGCGGTAGCGGATGGGCTTGTAATAGCGGGTGGATTTGCGGCGGCGGCGGTAGTGGATGGGCTTTTAATGGCGGGTGGATTTGCGGCGGCGGCGTAAGCGGATGGGCTTGCGGCGGCGGCGGGGGTAGCGGGTGGGCTTGTAATGGCGGGTGGATTTGCGGCGGCGGCGGCGGATGGGCTTGTAATGGCGGGTGGATTTGCGGCGGCGGTAGCGGATGGGCTTGCGGCGGCGGCGTTAGCGGGCGGGCTTGTAATGGCTGGTGGATTTGCGGCGGCGGCGGTAGCGGATGGGCTTGTAATGGCGGGTGGATTTGCGGCGGCGGCGGTAGTGGATGAGCTTGTAATGGCGGGTGGATTTGCGGCGGCGGAAGCGGATGGGCTTGTAATGGCGGGTGGATTTGCGGCGGCGGTAGCGGATGGGCTTGCGGCGGCGGCGTTAGCGGGCGGGCTTGTAATGGCTGGTGGATTTGCGGCGGCGGCGGTAGCGGATGGGCTTGTAATGGCGGGTGGATTTGCGGCGGCGGCGGTAGTGGATGAGCTTGTAATGGCGGGTGGATTTGCGGCGGCGGAAGCGGATGGGCTTGCGGCGGCGGCGGGGGTAGCGGGTGGGCTTGTAATGGCGGGTGGATTTGCGGCGGCGGCGGCGGATGGGCTTGTAATGGCGGGTGGATTTGCGGCGGCGGCGGCGGTAGCGGATGGGCTTGCGGCGGCGGCGGCGTTAGCGGGTGGGCTTGTAATGGCGGGTGGATTTGCGGCGGCGGCGGTAGCGGATGGGCTTGTAATGGCGGGTGGATTTGCGGCGGCGGCGGTAGTGGATGGGCTTGTAATGGCGGGTGGATTTGCGGCGGCGGCGGTAGCGGATGGGCTTGCGGCGGCGGCGGGGGTAGCGGGTGGGCTTGTAATGGCGGGTGGATTTGCGGCGGCGGCGGCTGATGGGCTTGTTATGGCGGGTGGATTTGCGGCGGCGGTAGCGGATGGGCTTGCGGCGGCGGCGGCGTTAGCGGGTGGGCTTGTAATGGCGGGTGGATTTGCGGCGGCGGCGGCGGCGGCGGTAGCGGATGGGCTTGCGGCGGCGGCGGCGTTAGCGGGTGGGCTTGTAATGGTCGGTGGACTTGCGGCGGCGGGTGGGCTTGTTACGGCGGCGGTATGCTATGTTTATTTCTCCTGTGTCGTAACATGACATCTCTCCTTGAAAACAATTTTTGACAGTCCGGACAGGTGGCAACCCCCATGGTGATCCAATACGGTGTGCGATTAGAGGGTATGAAGCTTTCTTTTATACCCTTGACTTTGTTGACGCTTCAAGGCAACAAGTGCCCGTTCCACCACAGCCTTCACCTCCGACACATGTTGTATTATCACGGGTTGGGGTGTTGTCTTCGATCCCTGTTTGGTTGTCATCGTTTTCATTTTAGGTGTTACCTGTCTCTTCTTTGTCTTCAGCGTCGACTTCTTGGCTGCTTGTGGTTTCTTTCTCTGTTGTGATTTTCTCAACGTAGTCTTCCTAAATATATCTCTAGGGTCAAGTCTAATCTCTGATGCTTTTTTCATGTTGTTCACGTCCAATCCGTTTGCTGGCGAGAGTAAAACTATTTGTTGGGCTACACTACTGTAGAGTTTATACTGTCTTACACGTGCAGGGATTCTTGGAAGACACTCTTTTCTTCACAGCACACTTGTGAGTATGTTAAAAAAAGCGATCATATTAGTATATAGTCTTCGTCATACTACACCCGTGAAGGTCCGGGTTATAAAAATCGACCTTCAGTAACCCATGCTTATCGGCGACTGACGGGGATCGGTTGGTCCGACTCGGATGACACGTGCCATCGGTTCCTAGTTGCACAGATCGCTGCTAATGCTGTTGATCACTGGATTGTCTGGTCCAAGCTCGTTTATTGACAGACCACCGTCCTAGAGCTGGAATAATGCCGAGTGTGGCGTAAAACTAAATTCACTCACTCACTGATACCAATACATCTAAAAAGTAATGTCATCATTTAAATGGTGAGTTGAAACGCGTATTTTACCCTTCCTGTTATCAATGTGTCACTGTTTACAGTTCGGGCGAACATAACCCTATAGACATGTGTGCGGGCGAGTTCATTCATCAGAAATATGTCATTTACGATGTGTTTATAAATATGAACTGCTAACCACGCTCATAGTCATGTTGCGTGTCGTGGTTAGAACCGTAATTGATCTATTGAAAGGTGTCATACATTCGTGTTCGGATATAGGTACAACATCTACACGCACATACTTTCCTACATCATTCAAACGTATTAAATACCGGATACGTTTAATAGACACCAACGAAAGAAAGGTTTAATGAGGGGAATACCCATATATATCCTCTCTGAAATAACTCCCTTTTAAAATAACAAATGTACAACACATCTTCCCTAACATATCATAAATACGGGACACTGGTCACACAATTTATGAATGGGAAGCTTCAGGCGAGGCTGGTATGTTGACATTAATTGTAAGGCCGGGGTATGTTGACATTGTTATGGGCGGCCGGTCGCTTAGTCTCTCTGCTATACATTAGCTATGAATAATCACCTTCCCTATTTTCCCTCAACCTCCCTCAACCAAAAAAAGGTTTCTGCGGACTGAGACTATACTACTTACGTGCATCAGAATACACCCTTGGTGATTTCGATTAACGATAATCATGATTGTCAAAACCTTAATTCGTTATAAGAACACTCATTTATAAGCAATTTACAGGCAAGAGGGGCTCCTCATTCCCCGTCTAAGGCGCCGCAATTCGCAGTATACCTTACTGGTATGTATACGACTTTCGTATGCGTGTGAGCTAGCACAGTATGCTTATCAGTAGATGAGTAGTGTATATTGATCAATTGTTTGTCCAACATCGATTTTTACAGCATGGAACATTGCCGACTGCGGTGTTAATCAGCTAACATGCACATTTTCAGATTTGTTGTCATTTTTATCCCATCGGCTTCTTCTTGTATGGTACTGTTACATATTCACAGAAGACTTTAAAAATATTGGTAGTTTATTGAGAATTCAATGAATCTGAAATCTGGCAAGATGGCGATAAACCAACGAATAAAATTTGTGCATGTATTAAAACAGTTTCTGGATTTACAGGATAGAGTCTTGTATTTCTGTTTCAAATCTACTAGTACATTTACGTAGATATTTTATTTTAACTCAACCATGTCTGGGACGGGTACGAAGTACGGTATTCGAAGATAATAAAAACATATTAAGCGAGTTAAAGAGGATTCGATCAGAGACCATACAATATGGTCTCTGATTAGATGCACTGACAATTGTGCATCAGTGATGGACAAGTTATTATTATACAAATCGTACTTTATTATTAGTTTAACCCGCAAAAATATTCTCCCAAACAAGGCCAACTCAATTCTAAAATAAGAACATCATTGGTTAAAATGTCCACGTCTAGTACGTTTGTTACTTTCAGTATTAACCATTAGGTTATTAGCGCATCGCAAATACGTAATACATGTTTATTACTTGAACATAATAAAATAAATATCAATGCTCGACGTGAATTTGACATGAACATACATTTTTCGACATAAATTGATTTCGATAATTGACTTCGTTTGCCTTGAATGATAAGGGGCCCATGATAATCTTTTGTCACCTCTTCCCCCTTCCGTAAACTGCAAGAAGTTATTCGGCTTTTCCCGGAGTAACATGAGTTGGTCATGAATGTGATGATAAGGATACTGGAGAACCAATCTGACAGCAGAGGATTGACGGGCATGATCGAACGATTGCTGAGAACCTAAGCTGGGCCCCGTCTCTCATATTACAATTTGGCGCAAGTTGACGACGCGCATAGGGAGCCGGGAACCAGCTTAACGTTTAAGCTGGTTCCCGGCTCCCTATGCGCGTCGTCAACTTGTTATATTGGAGACGGGGCCCAGCTTAGTATACGTTGCTATCCATGACGTCAAACAATACAGTGCTAACAGGGAAGTGACGTCATAATCACATGACGTCACGGGCGGAGAGTCTCAAACGGCCATAGTGATGAAGTTTCGGCCGAAATTCCAATGCTTTCCCGGCCACAGGAATGGGAATAGCAATGTGGTGGAAGCATCGGATTAAGACGCCTGTTTTATAGCTCCAAACTCAAAACTTATACAGGTTAGTTCAATCTCTTTTAGTACTAGATAAAACATATGCTACTTGCTGGCATGATGTTTTTGAAAACGCGACGTGAACTTTTTCATCAAGCCCGACTAATGTTGATTCTCAATATTTTTAATATCATACTCCCTTGGGTTTCATCTCTATTCAATGAAACAAGGCAGACGAACTTGCTTATCGCTGAGGAAGTTGTTTACCATGACTGGTTGGCTTATTCATGTGCGTCATTGCTTGTTACTATTTTTTAAAACGATTCGTCTGCTCTAATAAATAGATAAATTTTAGATATTTGGGAGTCCAAATCTGAGTTCTTTTTAGTTCTTTAGGTTGAACCGCAGAGTCAATACATTCTTTGAAGAATGTGGGTTGCCGGTTGACAGAAATTAATGATTTTCAGTAAATTCTTTCGTTAGGACAGGGATAGTGTATATACCAAGCCCAAGGGTCTAGTTCACATCACAGATTGTATTAGTGCATCAGTATATCAACGAAAAGGAATAAACATTTACGACTTTACACAAGTAAAGTTACCGCCCATGAAGATCCGGGTTAGAATTGGTCTTCAGCAACTCATGCTTGTCGTAAGAGGCGACTAACATGATCGGGTATTCTCCTGTATTGTCTGAATGTTTTAAGTAACATTGTGGTGCATCAGTTTGCATACTTGCCAAAATCTGTGGCAGAGTGGATACACAGATGTGACGGAGTGGACATTTTAGTAATAATTTTGACATTTGATGTTTACTGGTACATATGAATAACAAATATACCATGGGTGAATTATATAAAAAGCTTAATTTAGAATATGCTGCTGCATTTTCATTCTGTTAAGTGTGTGTATGACAAATCAGTTTGCAATTTGATGAAGTATGTGACGGAGTGGACATTTTGTTGTCGGAACCAATATGGCAAAGAATCTTTGAACCGCATCTACGAAAAGGAGGCGATAGACATCATTATGGCAATTGCAAGCAGTTTGGGTATTCATTTGCTGAATGTGTATCCAAAAAGGGAAATTTGTATGTTCAGGGTGCCGTTGTACAAAGCGATCTTAGCGCTAAGGTGATCGTAACTCCCATACCTTAACATAGACTTACAACAATCGTTTTGTACAACGGCACCCAGGAAGACCAGGGACCACTTGTACAAAGCGCTAAGACTATCATAAGCTTATGTTTAAGTATGGGAGTTACGATCATCTTAGCGCTAAGATCGCTTTGTGCAAGTGGGCCCTTAACCGTCTGCTGTATCGCATGGGTTCCATAGCGCAGTTCATCCAAACCACTCCTCATCATGTGGACAAATACCAGGCACTGCCAATAAGAAGAATCATTGGGTTCCAAATCATTTCGTGCCGATTTTGCCCATTGGAAGTGTTCCTTGGAAGATTTACATCGAGCCACCAAGATAATCAGACTTGTTCAAAGCGTCTAAACTGATGCACATTGTCATCTGCAGATGTTGTCCACTAGATGTTCATACAGGACTTGGCTACTATCAATAGTTAAATAGTTGTTAGTTGCACACTGACATTGCCTGTATACTCCATGTCAACTACGTCACAAAGATTTTGATATCTTCCACTTGTGTGTGCATGGCAATACATCTTAAGCAGTTATTTTCATGTTTTCTGTAGTCAGTAGTATGCAAGCCTATTTTGTTATTTTGCATATGGCAAGTTTTGTTCACCCCAGTTCAAGTTTTAGCTGATGACATTTTGCACTCCGTCACAACAATGTGAACTCCGTCCCAGACTAATATTGTGTCATATTCTATAAATGATGCTGCCATATAATCTTTTCCTACAAGATTAATTTCATTGATAAAAAAATAATTATATTTAATAGGTTGAGGATAATGAATTTATTTTAAAAAATGATGAAAAGAAACAATATGCTCCTCTTCAAAAACATACATTTTTCAGTAGACAATGGTATATTATCAATAAAAGTGATTCCCGAAGGTCAATCAGCATGATATCTCCACATAAACGTGATCATTATTGTATCTCTTTCACGATTTTGAGAAAATTTGCATAACATTCCATGATGTGGAGTAGTCAAAATATACATAACTTTGCTAGTTAATAGAATCTAGTTGCTTGTTAAGCTTGCGTTTTTAATTGTTTGTAAAGTTCAGTATGTCTCTTAATTCATAAAAGGAGAATAAACAAACATTTCCATTTGCCAAATTATACTCCAATCTGATGACTCATTTTCCATATTCTTTACCTTAAATCTGTATTTGGATATACTGACACACTACTTTCATGGTTTCATTCAAAATGTATCAAAAACTTAACCGTACATATCTTAAATGACCATTCTAACAATATGCAAGTTATCCAAAATACCGCCACTATATCATGCAAACATCGTCATTTGATACACATTATCATTTATATTTCAGACATATACTGTTATCAAAAGTGAAAATGTCTGTCACGGAGAAAAATGTGGAGGAGTGGTTGAACTCCAACCCTTCTTTCCTGCCAAAGTACATTGCAAATGCGCCTAGAGACGTCGTAAATAGCATTGAAGTATTGAAGAAGAAGGACGACTCAGCCAAGTTATCTTCAGTTGCCAAAAATGTCATGGCAAGTAAAATTTTGAAGAAATATTTGAATGGGGATCCACCTGTCAATAAAGTTGCTTCAAACATAATTGCCGCGAGTAAACTGGATGAAATGAACGAAAATGACGTTTTTATGGAACTAGTGCGAGACATCGCAAGCGAACTGGATGTAAACGTCCTTTGTCACAAGATTCTGAGAAATGTCAGCTTGTTGACCAAGAGTGATAGAGGAAGTTTGTTTCTTGCAAGAGGTACAGTAGATCACAAATACCTTGTGTCCAAGCTGTTTGACGTCACACAGACTTCAACCCTTGAAGAGTCCCTTCATACCGAAGAAACTGAAATTAAAGTTCCCTTTGGAAGAGGGATTGCTGGCCATGTTGCCCTGACAAAAGAAACAGTAAACATTAAAGAAGCATACGACGACCCAAGATTCAATCAAGCCATTGACAAGAAAACCGGTTACCGTACACATAGTATTTTGTGTATGCCCATCGTAAACCACGATGGAGAGGTTATTGGTGTTGCTCAGATCATCAATAAGATTTATGGTTCGCACGATTTTGTTGCCAAAGATATTGAAATCTTCAAAAAGTACCTTACCTTTTGTGGGATTGGCATCATGAACGCACAACTCTTTGAGATGTCAATAAAGGAATACCAGAGGAATCAGCTTCTGCTCAATTTAGCACGTGGGGTATTCGAGGAACAAACACGCCTCCAGCAACTTGTACAGAAGATAATGGTTGATGCACAACAGTTGTTGAAATGCGAACGTTGCAGTGTATATCTACTATCTGATTTTTCTGCACAAATTACCTTTGAGTCTTCTGATGAACATGAAGTTGCCGATGAGAGGACGTACGCTTCTGCAGATGACGTAAGATTTTCAACTGTCTTTGTACTATCTGAAAAGGGAAACGGAAATATTGAAATTCCAAGTGCTGGGGACATTGCAATGGCCCAAAATACCAAAGTCTCGAAACTTGTAGTTTTCGAAAAAATGTCAATAAACATTCCAGACCTTGAATTTGAAAGTAGATTTGGAAATGCTCACTTTGTTGATAGCAGTGGTTTCAAATCCAAAAGTATCTTGTGTGTGCCCATCTTTAACAGCAAAATGGAAATAATTGGTGTTACTCAATTGATTAACAAGTCAAATGGTATGGGTTTCAATGAGAATGATGAAAACATCATCGAGGCATTTTCAATATTCACTGGACTTGGTATTCACAACTGTATCATGTATGAAAACGTCTGTAAATTGATGGCAAAACAGAAGGTTGCCCTTGAAGTCCTATCCTATCATGCCACAGCTTCAGAGGAAGAAACCCAAAAGCTGGTAAAGGCAGATTTGCCGTCTGCTGAGGAGTGGGGTTTGTACACATACATATTTGATGACTCTGAGATGGATGAATTAGACACATGCAGGGCAGTGATCAAGATTTTCTGTGAAGTAGGAGCAGTGGAAAAGCTCAAGGTTCCATACGATGTCTTATGTCGATGGACACTCAGCGTAAAAAAGAATTACAGACCAGTCACCTATCACAACTGGCGCCATGCCTTCAACGTATTTCAAAGTATGTTTACCATCATGTACACAGGTAAACTTGGAAAGACATTTGATGATATTGAAATATTTGCTATACTTGCAGCTTGCCTTTGTCATGACCTTGACCACAGGGGTACAAACAATGCATTCCAAGTAAAGGCTGAATCTCCATTAGCAATGTTATACAGTACATCAGTGATGGAACATCACCATTTTGACCACTGCATCATGATCCTAAACAGCCCTGGAAATAACATCTTTAAGAGCCTCAGTGGAGACAATTACAGGAAGGCTTTGAGTGTTCTAGAGCATGCAATCCTATCAACAGACCTTGCACTTTACTTCAAGAAACGTGCTGATTTCAAGGGCCATTTAGAAAAAGGGGTTAAGGATTTCAGTACACCAGAGCTGAAAGATCTCTTAACAGCTATGATGATGACAGCATGTGATGTGGCAGCCATTTGCAAACCTTGGGAAATTCAATTCCGAACGGCTCAGATGGTAGCCAGTGAATTCTTTGAACAAGGAGACATGGAAAAGGATGTCTTGGGAGAGAATCCCATCCCAATGATGGACAGGGAAAAGCAGGATCAGCTACCAAAGATGCAAGTTGGTTTCATAGATTTCATCTGTTTGCCAATATACAAACTCTTCAGTGACTTTGATCCTGCCCTGGCCCCTTTGTATGATGGTTGTGCTAACAACAGAAAGCACTGGCAAGAACTGGTTGATGGTGAGGCTGCAAAGGGTGAAGGCAATGCTGATGTGAAGACAGCTACTGATGAAAAGAAAGACACTGTCAAACAGCAGAATGCCACTGGTACCACTAAAACTACAAACCAAGTTGGAGGAGGAAAAGATACAAAGTCTAAAACTGGCAAGAAAGGTCCATCAGAGTCTTTTCGAAACAGACTCTCTAAAAGACTTAAACTGCCCAAATCAAAGATTTGTGTTATAATGTAACTATGGTTACTTGTGAAAGAAACACAAAGTGAACGTGTCTGAGGTTTTAACATCTTCTGTATTCCATTCACTGTTTTCATTGTTTACCAGTTTAATTTGTATTTCCCTTGAGACAAATCATAACAATAGCAGATTTAGAGTACTGCATACACACTGGTGACTTTTCAAATAGTATCAAAACTTCTTCCTAATGTAAAATAGGTCACCAAATTAAGACTGAAATAGCTGCAGCCAAACTACATACTATATCAAAATGCTCAAAGGATAATTTTGCAGAGTTATTTACATCTGTAATTTTTTGTGAACAAAGATAACTAGATCATTTAGATTTATTAACATTTATTAATGTAAATTATTATTATTGAGGTTGCAATGTAATAAAAGAGATACAACAGTGAAAATATTCTGTTTTAGACTGAGTGGGTTTGGTTGAATGTTGTTTTTCACGTCATTTTCGAGTGGTTGAAAATGCAAAATGTCTTTCATTCTATAACCTCATGGCCTATTGATCCTTAAGATCCCGGTTAGAATTGGTTTTCAACAACCCACGCTTGGTGGTCAGGCCCTTTGACTTGGTTGATGCTTGTGATGTCAATCACTGGATTGTCTAGTCCAGACAGCCGTCATATATAGCTGGAATACTGATCAGTACGATGTTCAACAACAAACAAACATATAGCCTATTTAGCCATTTTAACTAAAAACAAACAATAGGGGAGGATATGTTTCATTACATTAATTTTATTCATCATGACAATGTAAATAGACAACAAACAAAAGACAGACATATTGCACCAATACATAGTTACAATGGTTACATAACAAAGATGAACACTAAAGAGTTCAAAACTGAATATAAAAATTCAACATTATATTTTCTTACTAGAAAGAATGTTGTTACATCACTCCCTCTTCAACAATTAACTATCATGAATCATAAAACCTTTGATTACTTTCAAATTTTGCTTCAAGATCAGAAAATATATTTTTTAGGGTAAAAACATAATTTACATTTATCCTGACTCATACAAAGTGCTTATCTCATCTCGTTCCGAAAAGCTAATGGAAACTCCTGTGCTGTGTCCCAAGAACAGAAAAATATTTCACCCTACGTACCCCTCAGCCACACTAGACACAGCACTGGCGTTTCCACAACCTTTCGGAAAGAGATGAGGTAAGCAATGAGTATATGTCAGGATAAGGTAAAATAATATTTCTAAGTCCCAAAATAATACTTTGTTTCATTTAATTTTTTTCTGAAAACTTGATGTGATGATAAATGTCCAAAGAGTACACCGTCTTGGGGATAACATCTGAAAATACTACAACACAAAAAATAACAACACAACTAAAGCTTCAGTAAATAACCACAATCCACTTTCACAGAGCAAGCTTTGCTCTTTGACAAAGTCAGTGCTAAAGTCTTAGAGCTTGCACAACAACTGCAATAACTCCCCTGCTTCAACACAAACTAGTTCTGTGATTAGGATTCACTTGCACAAAGTGATCGTTGGACTAGAACATATTGTAACTTCCATACTTACACAGATGCACACAGCAGTTCGAAAGAACTGGGCCTCGTTTCACAAAGCGACACTAGCGCTACAACTATCATATCTCCTTTAGTTTAACACAGACTAACAACAGTCATAGCGCTACAATCGCTTTGTGAAACAGGCCCCAGGTTGTGAAAAAGAAACCTGGCCACCATGCACAGACCTTGTACCTGTTAAAATCTCTCTCTTAATGTATACTGATGGACATGAATAAGGAAATACTTAGTTTTAGACACAGTAAAATGATGTGTTATCATGAGTTGTCTACGAGTTGGTAACAACGCACACAAACACATCTCATCATTTGATACTGATGTGTTGAATTTGTAAGCGCAATTTCAAATGTACTGACAGTAAGCCGTATTTTCCTCTACTTTTCTTTGTTCCCTTATTTGTTACCATCAGTATAATTGTTGAGCTTTTCGCTAAAGATATTCTCGTCAACATTTCACAGGGTTTGTGGTGGAGCAGTAACCCAAGTCTCTCATTAGTCAACTAATAACAGGGCCTTTGATAACTCACAGAAGTCACAAATGAGCCCAACTCCCTGCATGAACTTCGTGTAACCCTTCTGTTGCCTGATACTGAAGCAAGGTGTAGAGCAGACTGCCACAACAGTGCTCACGGGTGTCCCTCTCACTGGTATCAGCCAGTGTCTTCCTTGTAGGTTAGAAATAGCGACAACAGTGCAAATCAGTTGTATGTAGTCACGGGTCATCATGGTGCTCACGAAATCTGCGAAGTATTGACAATACAGATTCCGATACACACATAGCAGACAACACTACAACTACTGTAAGTTTATGTTTAAGCAAGGGCCCCATGGCAGTCCCACCTGAATTGTCCTGTTCCTCAAACCAATCCGAAGGCTTGAGCATTCGTCAATCTTTCATCCAAAAAACAAACTTACAGTTACAACAAGTAGAACACTAAGCTTGTGTGCAATAATGTTCCAGTTTCCGTTATGTAAATCTTCAATTACAACACACAACATTCACATAACAACCAGAAAGATCATATGCAAGACAAATCGATATTCTTGAACTTTAATCAAGTTAGCTCATTATATATCCAATAACTGAATATTGGTGTTGATGCATATCATGCCATCACAGAAATCCTATATTACGCTGGTTTCACAAGTATTACCCACGGGCACTGACACGGGTGAAATTATTTAAAAAAATTATTGAGCATCGTAATTTTTGTGTCATGCTAATTAGTTCGTAACAAATGGTCCATTACCTTCTTTGTTTCGATGATGCTGAAACATCATGAAAGCATGATCGCAAATAATTTACGATAATAATAATAAGAAGAAGAATAATAATAATAATATTAAAAAAATAATAAAAAATAAAAATAATAATAATGTGTACATACCTATACTGCGTTGACTCCGAACACAAGGTACATGCTCAAAGCGCTAATATTATTATCCCTGGTTATACCTCTGCAGTTCATGACAATTTAAAGCAACATTTTTTTCAACTAATTTTTCAACCTGTTGAAGCTAATGTCTCATTTTGTGACAAGGAAACACATTTTTGTGGAAAAATGAATAAATAACCTACTCGCAACTCAGGACTAACAGGCGGCGGCAAAAACATATAGTATAAGGACGTAAATAACCATGGATACATTTCTACACCACAAAATCTGGGGTGATTATATAGGCATCATAACTCTGCTGTTGCTAATTTCAGAAAGAGTAATTTTTCCTCACAAGTTGATTTCACTTAGTCCTTATTTGCTTTCATTTAATACAGAGCACCAATATATGCGCAGCTGATGAGACATTGGCTAGGTAAGCAAGAGCCTTGATTGGCCAAGCTCTTCACAGCGATAGCCCTGCTTTGGAGCTCTCTACACTATTGTTTCCTCGTCACAGCTCCCCACTGTGCTTAGCGGCCTACAACCATGTATGGAATTGAACTCGCAACCGACTGTTATGTTACAAACAAGTAATGAGAGTCGTGATGCTGAATACTCTACCCCCAGCTATATTATTACCATATTGTGACCAGAATATACCTTCCTGTATGGTTGTAGCCCTAATTACTGTCTTTCTTTGTCCATTTGAATTTGTATTTATTTTACATTATAATGTTATTGGTACAGTAAAAATGTATGGGAGAAGTTGGATGCTTTTCCATCAGCCAGCAATCTTCAACGAATCTGATCAAACAAACAAATGTAAATTCATCTGGAAAATAGAAAATCAGTTATAAACCTTTTTCCAATGCACTATAATGGCATTCCCAAAGACATAAACAAAAATATAAATGTCACAGCATTTGGGATCAAAAGGGATATTTCAAGCTTCTTGTAACGGCTGCGAGGTCACTGGTGGCAGCAATGATAGCAGAAATAAAGTGTAGCGCTTTGGGAAGGAGCTCACGTAGTTGCAGCTGAAGGGATGCAACTCTGCACAGCCTCAACATCAGCACCTGTGGAAGTTGTAAATCCAGGTTCTACACACTGGATTCGACAGAAGAAGGGTTATAATTCACTAGAAAACAACAAATATCTACAAAACAAATACAATAGATAAAATATATGTAATACAAAGTCAAAATGCTACTTGCATAAAATACTGGTAAACATGTTTCAATCATACTTTGGAAATATTCTACCGAGAAATTCCTGAGAGAAGCTGATAAGGTATATTTAAGTAGGAACACCTCACAAGAAAGTGAAATGAGAATTCACTTATTACTCAAAGTAAAATAATACCTTCCTGTAAGCACTAGTTAAAAGTGGTGAAATGTGTAGATTACTACAAAGGTTAATATTGAGATCATTTGAACCCAGTACAGTCCTGTCAGGCAAACAAATATATACATGTCCCTGGGTTTATTTCAACCCATCCAAATATAGTGTTGGTAGGTAGGAGTGTTTTTTGGTTTCTCTTTTATTTGAAAAACATCAGAACGTCAGTAAAAGTCTTATTTCAAATGAAGACATCTTTTAATGAAGCACTACAAATTAATGTTAGTGGCATAAAACACAGACAACACCAGGACTGTGACAACACTTCTGGTGCAACTTGAGAAAGACGAAAAAATGTTTAAGGGTTGGGGCTCCGAATTGTGGAAACATAAACATATATATATTTGTTTTGGCCTTAGCTTCATTAAAATGAACAGGGTTTTACACTAGGTTTAGCCATATTGCACCAAAAGCCCAGGACACTAGAGTTTCCGGACTGAGCCATGTTGACCATGCACACGTTCTGCCACTACAACCTTAAGTAGAGGACATTGCTGGATTACAGTATGTGCTTAAGAAGAAACTAACAAGCTCTCCTCTACAACATAGAGAAAATATAACACACAGCATAAATGAATTAATATACATGGACAACTATCAACATTTTATCTTTGATACCTTGAACAACAAGATTGAAATTGCCATCTTAAAATTCATTATCTGTAAGTAGAAGATGTAGGATTTCAGTCAGATCACAAGATGAAGCAAATAGGCTTTCCTCTACAACATAAAAAACATAACACACAACATGAATGACTTAGAATTCACAACTGTCAAGTCAGTCCTTCAGCCAGAATGAAAACAGTGCCACTTGTCAAATTACTTTTCGAGTGCCAACGACAATTTCTGATCGGGGACCAACCGAAGAATGACACAGAAAGCTGCAAGTGTCTCATATTTCATGGTTGCCACTCTTTCCTGTGCCAGCCAAACAACACACCTCACTGCAGCCATTGATGGATCATGTTTCAGCAAAACAACATTTTTTCTTTATACAGTAAAGTCCCATCATTCTGACATAGTTGGTTGCATATGATTATGTCGGCTTAACTAGTATGTAGGATAAACAGAATTAATTAGTATCAATGTTTGTGATCGAAAATCGGAGAACTACACAATAGATAACGATGCAAACACTAATTGTTCATTAATTGTTTATTGTTTAGCAAGTTTATCTCTGCAGCCGTTGTAATATGCAGCGACCAGCCGACTCGTCTCGCATCAAAACACGGGCTGTGTACTCAGATGACCACGGAGTATGCTGATCAGTGTCGGATTAACAAGACTGATTAATGAGTGATTTCGGTAATTTGTTGCAAATTAGGTGTGTCGGGGTGCGAGACTGTTGGATTCATGGGTCGAAATAGCACTGATTTAATCAGTTCCAATCATTGTTGTTGGATGAAGCCGATTGTCGGATGAACGAGACTTGACTATATATGGTACACATTTCTTTGAATAGCTATTGACATTTTTATTCAAAGAAATGAAGTATTGAATGATGAAACATTTTAAGCCAGATGCAAAGTTTTTCAGCATTTTGCTGTATAAAATATTTACATTTCTCATGTAATATCACTGATAGTACTTGTGTGTGTTTATAAGCGCCAATTTCCATGACTTTGTGAGAATGGCACAAGGGCTGTCTGAAGCACTGTCTAGTACATACATTGCCTGCTTCACCATCAACACAGCTGAACACAGCTTTGGTCACAGGACTAGATCGGTCAATAAACTTGTAAATTGCAAAATACTTGTAAGAAAAACTCAATGAACCTGTACATTGTTATCACTAGGAAAAGAGTGAAAAAACAATTCTACATTTTCTCATGGTATTTTTGGTACTCCTTTACCATTTTCTTTCCCACACTAATTTATGACTAGTTACCATCGTAAAAAAATATTCAACATCCTGATTTAAAGATTGTTACAAACATCACACATTTGCCAAAAACTATCATATACCAACATTGTTTTCTTTAAAAGAAATCTTAACCAACAAGATATTAATCACCATCTCAAAATGGATTCTTATCTGGCTTTGAAAAATAGAAAATTCTTGACTTTTATAATTTCACAAAACATTAATTTGTATAACAAAATGAACACTCCCTTTGCCTCTGAATTAATGTACAATTGTTTAGCCATGTAATTAATCCCAAAAGACTTTTCCTTTGATAAAAACTAAGATAATAGGATGCTGAAATCATTATTTCATTTTGAACTTTAAACTGTATCAAAAATACTTTTTTGATAATATAGCTGTGTGTGAGTATGGTTTTCTACCACTTTTAGCAAGGTAGCAACACAGTGGGGACACCAGAAATTGGCTTCAAACATGGTACCTGTGTGAGGAATCAAACAAGGATTTCGGTGTGACAAGCGAACGCTAAACTACAGCACCTCCAACAGCTGTCACTAACTTTGACTACCCTTGACAGATGGGATTAAGCTGAAATAGGTTTCTGTCTGTATTATGATCATTCTTACTATTCTGTAATCATAGCTGTTGAAATATACACATCATAATATCAGTTAGAAGTGTATTTCTAAAAGTCAACATTTTTCAGTCTCCATGTTCATTGTATATCAAGAATCCTCAATAACCATCAACTTGTTTTCTTCTCGTGCACGTTCAGGTAATGCAGTTAGATGTTTTGATGGTGAGTGAATATGGGTTTAACGAGGTTTTCAACATTACTTGACAAGGGAGGAAATCTTAAAGTGAAGCAGGTCATATTTGCTTACCACTCTGGTGGAACCCACAACACTGCCACAACCATTCCAAGATCTTAGTCAGATGAGCCTTGAATTCAAACCAACGATCAGCAGATCCTGGCAGCAAAGGGAGACAAACCTGCATGGTGAGTTATGGCATCTAAGACAAATGACAACCTGGTTTGCTTGTTGAAAGGATTTGTCTCATTAGCTTTTGGATAATGATTTCAACACCCATAGGTTCTGTGAACAAACCAGAGTTCAAATTAAGATTTGAGTTTACTTGTACAAACTCAGTTCCTGTGTCACAACAGTAGGGAAAACACTAGCAAGTTCTGTGAAATTTTTGCCATCAAAACGTTCAAGCATTTCTTTCATGTCTTCCAGACATTTCGTCTCTAGGCTTTTCAGATTCTGCAGAACCTCCTGTGCATTTGCATCCTCATGATCCAACTGTTCACAGAACTGCTTATGGCCTCTGTGAAGCTCGTGCTGTCGATTAACTTGACCTTGAAACCTGGGAATTCTTCTCGCGGGATCGTCTGGGCCATATTCGGGAGATTTTGTCTGGGTACCAATGTCAACAGTGTCAGGCGTGAAAACAAAGGGTTTGTACACGCTGCGTAGAGGGTTGGGTGTTGCTGTGAACCAATGACAAGGCAGCATGGAGCAATTGGAAGGGGAGAGAACTGACACCTGACTTCCTGTCGAGGTGAATGCACCGGTCATACAGAAACCACTGTCTTCATCACGGAGGATCTGCATCATCTCTGGAGCGCCAAATGTACCTGCAAACAGCATCACTCTTGTAGTGTCATGGATAGCAAGGTTATTTGTAATGGGCCCCATTCCATGAAGTCAATGTTAAAGGTATGGGAGTTACGACTGTCTCAGTGCTATGACTGTCATATGTCTATGTTAAGGTATGGGAGTTACAACTGTCTCAGTGCTATGACTTTTCATATGTCTATGTTAAGGTATGGGAGTTACGATCGTCTTAGTGCTACAACTGTCATAAGTGTATGTTAAAGTAGGGGAGTTACGATGGACTTAGTGATACAACTGTCATAAGTCAATGTTAAAGTAGGGAGTTACGATCGACTTAGTGATACAACTGTCATAAGTCAATGTTAAAGTGGGGATTTACGATCGTCTTAGTGCCACAACTGTCATAAGTCAATGTTAAAGTAGGGAGTTACGATCGTCTTAGTGCCACAACTGTCATAAGTCTATGTTAAAGTAGGGGAGTTACGATCGTCTTTGTGCTACAATCGCTGTGGAATGGGGCCCTGGACCCTGTTTATCAAAGCAATCTTAGCGCTAAGATGATTGAAACTCCCATACTATAACACAGGATTATGATCGTCATGGAGCTGAGATCTCTTTGAGGAACGGGGCCCTGGGCCCCGTTCCACTAAGCGATCTTAGGGCTAAGTTGATTGTAACTCACTAAGTACACGATCTTAAATTTTGGTTACGATCAGCCGCCCGTTCCACAAAGCAATCTTAACTGAGAGAGTTGTAAGTTAAGATCAAAATGCTAAGTTGCTCCGGACCAACTTAGGATCGCTAAAATCAATCTTAAATATTGTACCATAACAACAAAGATGGCCATATTTCGACAATGCGTCATCTGCTAAACATGACCAAGGGAGGCCACTCTTAGGGAAACTTTCGTATCTTCATGGCTGAAGATTCCGATCTTTGTTAAGATCGGCTACTTAAGAACTTGTAAAGTTACAATTGCCCTAAGATCGCTTTGTGGAACGGGCGTAAACTTTAGCTAAGACGATTTTATAATCGACGTAAGTCTCTAAGATTGATTGTTCCGCTTTGTGGAACGGGACCCTGGACATTACATCTGTCACCAGCAGGGTGTATGGGATTTTACAAGCTGAAGGAACTTGTAGTTATATCTGATCCAAGGTAAAGCAGTGTACACATTCACCTTGTAAAATACTGTGCACTCCACCAACTATTGATATGCGTCATGAATATATCATGTTGATCAAAAGGTTAGGAGACTTATTTTCCATGAATATTTTCGGGGACAATTAGATATATCTTGTGCCATCAGACTTGAAACGGAGACTTAAAGAGAGAACAGGTTCAAGTGTGATATACCAAGCAAGTGATGTCACATCAAATATACTGATGTAATGATATCCTTACAGGCTGGCAAACACACTTGTATGAAGTACTGTATTTTCTTGAGTAAAGTGCACACTTTTTTTCCTAAAAAAAACCCAGTGTAGTAGGGATGCGCATTATACAAACAATAATGAGTTTTTATGTTTTTTTCCCCCAACGGAAAGACATTACTGTGAGCATGTATCACCGGAAATACCATGTCAACAAATCCATACTGAATGTAATTACACACTCTGGCTATAAAAAGTGTTCTATGTATATCTGGACTTATGTTTGTAACTTATTTCATAAATTTTATTAAAATTTCTTTTTAATATTGTTTTAATTAATTTCGGTGAAATCGTGTGTGAAGCGATCGGAAGATCTCACAACTCACCGTTATTAACAGCAACCACGGTCAGATTACCGCTATTGACGCCTTGAAACAAACTTTAGTTGACTGAGAATGGATTCATATATCATAAATGCCATACTTTGACTCGTTAAAATTCATATTTTTTATGGTATGACGATTCTATGTCAACATGTAGTTTCGTCATACCATAACACGTAGTTTCGTGATCAAATGCGTTGGCGCCTCGACAGTGACAGGTCAAACTAGTTCCATGTGAAAAATAACAACCAGCAATAGCGATCAGCTGCTTCGCTTAGAGTTATAATTATTTTAAATATATTTAGCAAAAGCTGCAACAAAAATAACAAGATATTGGAATATATTATTTCTGATAAAAAAATAGTTTCAGATACAATTTTTGCCGATCCTTGCTTTAAAATCCTGTTAAGTTGTATCATTGGGTGTGTCTTGACCGAATCACGGTAGATTCCAAGCAAACGTGTGTACAGCTGATTGCTGTTTCCGGCTTAGTTTACGAGAAAATACACAAGGTAATCTTAATCCCTGGATTTAAAACAATGCCTAGCAGAACAAAATATACAATTTAAATGGTATATCAACATTTTGTATCCTAGGAAAGGGAAACATCAATTAAATCTACCAAAACACCTCCACCCAGCTCCCCTCGCCCCGCTCCACCCCACTACGCTCCCGTTGCAAAGTGACAATAGCCGCCTTGGTACATGTTTCACTTTCTGAAACCACTTTTCCAGTGAATGTGGTTCAAAAAAATTACAAAAATAAAATCAGACTGGGTATGATACTTAACAAATGAAACGCAAATACCATACACGTTTAAGAGATATTAGATTGGGTCGATGCACAAACGAACATACTGGTACGTTGTGTGAACTGACACTCATGAATGTATCACGTGACGTCATAGATCCATGACTTGAGATGTATCATTTGTATTGTGGCAGGATCAGCATGTAGAGTTGGGAAATTATGTGCAGCATATCGTGATAAGAATAAATACACTCTGTGGTAACACTTGACTGATTGCTAGTATTGTCATTAATTGGTACACATTGGAAACATCTCTTCTTAACTTACAAACTTCTCAATATGTTTCTATAGTTCATGTTTTGGGGGGGGGGGGGGCAGAAAAGTATACATATACAGGAATTCATGATGTCATTTGTAGGCAAAGTTTTGTTTGTTTGTTGTTTAACGCTGCACTCAGCAATATTCCAGCTATATGACGGCAATCTGTAAATAATCGAGTCTGGACCAGACAATCCAGTGATTGACATCATGAGCATTGATCCACACAATTGAGTACAATGACACACATCAACCAGGTCAGCGAGCCTCATCCCCCGATCCCGTTAGTCGCCTCTTACAACAAGCATAGTTGCCTTTTACGGCAAGCATGGGTTGCTGAAGACCTATTCTACCCCGAATCTTCACAGGTTTTTGTAGGCAAAGAGACAGAAGGTGAGATTAGACATTTTCCTACCCTTTTCCGAGAGCGTCTGCAAGAGTTTCCGTCCCCTAGTGTAGCGATGTGACTTGCACAGGGCTGCAGTGGCGCCCCCTTCACTCACAGCTGCAGTAAAGTTGAGCTCGCCAGACCCGTCATAAAGGCCTAGCGCCTTGAGCTCGTCACGAAGGTTGGGGGAACCAAGATCGATCTTTGTACCAATACTGAACTCGTTGGAGATATTCCTTACACCTTCTGTAACAACAAATATCCAGTCGGTTAGAATCAATTCCAAAAATATCAGTCTGTGACTTCAGCCACTCGTCTGAAGCTTGTCTGAAGCCACTCGATTCCAGGAAACTTGTTTGTGGTCTAGTAAACTAAGCTATTAATTCTTTAAACGTATTAGCATAATATAAGATTGCTATGCAACACAACGTAAAGAACAAGGAAGTAACTCGATGACGTCGTAAATTTGACGTTATTTTTGAGAGGGAAGTGTCTAGCGAGACATATGGGAGAGATATGACAATAGGTATTGTGAGAAAAGGTACATATAATCGACGTGAATATTGTGAGAATATGCAGGAAAGAGCAAATTTAAGCCCCCTGTTCATAAAATGGACTCGTTTTATTAACATCCTTAAAGAGGCTGTACATAATATTGATATCTCATAAGGAATAAACGACGAATGGGAGTTGTTTATACATGAAGTACAATGAAACATAAACTCCCTATGGTGTTTTATTGTATCCCACTGTTTATTTCTTAATTAAACGTGAAAATTGACACAGGTAGAGAAATAAAGGCCTATTTTTCCTGGCCTTACCCGTGACATGCTCGGCAGCCCACAGAGCTCCAGCTGTCTCCAACACCCAGGCCTCCTTCCTGTCAGCGATCAGGAAGCTGTTATGGTACGCCCAGTCCGTCATCCCTGACTGCTCACTGCATGGACCCCCCTGGCCGTACTTGGCCAGCAGTGACGTCAACACATCCAACGCCTCCCGGGCAGTCGTAGCTCTCTCAAGTCCAAGTCTGTATAACAGAGTATTGATTCACTTTTGTAATCTCACAAGCCTGTTGACCAGTTTTAACATCTTTTCCGTGGTCAGTGATTAGTGAGGTCTGACTAGTATTTGGTTTACAGATTTTTTGCCCACAAATTCATGTGTAGGTCAAATAAAACAATATATCTAAATCCAATTTCAAATACTTTCGTCATAATTTGTTGTGTAACAGGTTTTAATTTTAGTAAAATTTATATTTTTTACATTTGTATACTTATCCTGCATTACTCCTTAATGCATCTACTTCTTACCATACGACAAAGAAGACAGCGCCTTGCGATGGTCCTTGGTGAAGAAAAGAGGTTTTCAGTCTACTTTTGCAAGGACCCATCACCGCTGTCATGTGACCGTCCGTTGTGATGTCACATTAGGTCACAGTGCGCGATGGGTGGGCCCTTAGACGTAGTAATGCACGATAAGTATACAAATTTAGTAAAATCTATATATTTTTTACATTTGCATACTTATCCTGCATCAATCCGTAATGCATCTGTATCAGGCGGTATGGCAGTGGGCAACCCTTCAGATGTCATCCTCAATATATATAAACCCTTCATGTGACATACGTGTCAAGGGAGCGTATGGTGTCTCAAGCTCAAGTGTTACTCACTCAATCTTATTAGCAGAGAGAAATGAGGATAAGTCCAGGTAAACAACAGTAGGAAGTAAATAGCATGAGCTAAAATCTAAATCTGAGTTTCTGAGCCAAGGCTAAAAAGCCTTATAATCCCCCTAAGGAGCATGTCAAAAACTCTGCACGAGTCGAGTAAGATTGGCTCCAGACTGGGAGAGTTCATTATTGGTGTTAGTACTGGGCTACTACCAGAGGACCAATGCTACGAACGCCTCGGACATCTTCAAGTGCCACGTCTCTTAGAAAATGGCTAGCAAAGACAGTGTCGGTAGTCCTTCCACGATTGCTCTAAGAGAACACCTGCGCAGCTGTGACCAAGGCCAAGAGAAAAATTGACTTCATGATGAGGATGATGTGTTGAGGGGCCCGAAGAGAGGCCTGCACAATCCTTGAAGACGATGAAGTACCCCTTCAAATCCCAAGCAGGGGGACGGAATTTGGCCTTCAGATCCTCAATCCTGAAAGAGCGTAGGAGGGCCTGTAGTTCCGCATCTTCTTGAGGCTAGGGTGTTAACTAACTCTAAAAGTCCAGTTTCCACCCTTGCCAAACTAGGCTGGAATTCCAGGGTGACATTTTTGCTGTCCAATCAAAATCGTGTAACGAACTAGAGATCATGGATTTCAACGTGCAGGTTTCGGTCGACTGCAGGATTTACAAATCATGTGTGCCGTCATCTGGACGTTGACAGATATTTTGCAAATCTTTCAAGGTTTTTAATCAAGGTGCTCAAGTGATTTGATGCACTCTGCATGGTAACAACCGGTTTATTACAATAGAGATTTTGATTACCGATCAGATCGTCTTAACTTGGCGCCGCCATTTTGTTTGATGAAAATGCGAATGATATGAGAGATTGAATCTGATTGGTCAATAGAATGGATGTAGAAGGGATATAACTCATAATAGCCACTGGTGGCGCTACGATCGAGCCTGGAAATTCAACCCTAGGTCGGCACGGGTGGAAACAGGACTTATACAGTTAGTTAACTCCCTTGCCTCGGGAAGATGGTAATTCCGGAACTTTGGTCATTTCGAGATTCCCTGGAACGACAAAACTTGAATTAAGCACTACTAAATACGTAGTAATGGTGGTACCTTTCAAGTATCGTTTGGTATGCAACTGTAGGAGGTACTCAGTTAAGAATTGCGGGGACGCTGTAGTCGGATCTTGATTTTTCGCCTTCCAAAAGGTATCAAATAATCAAACATCGTATAACCAACCCCCTGGTAGAAGGACGGTGTGCCAGAGCAATAGCCTTTAGCGCTCAGCGCTCTTTTAAGATGAACCAAGCAAGCAGATGAAATCTGCTTGGCAGTAGTAGTTTGCTGTAAGGGTGGATGAGCAAGCTCGGCTGTAACCACCCCTCGCCAGCCACCAGGGCCTGACCAAAATCAGAGAGAGGCTGTTGGTAGCTTTGATTTTGTGTATCACCCTGGGAAAGCGCTGATGCACCAGTTGGAACGCTTCTGGGCTGAGTTTGCACTCCGTGGGAGCCACCTAGTCTGGTCAGGATAGAGCATCCGCCTGAATGTTCTGACATCCGGGGATGTGCTTGACTAGGAATTATAGTCCTAGGCGATCCACTAGTTGAAAGAACTGGAGCGTTTGTTGAAGTAGTCGGAGGAGATTGCGCATTGGGTGTACCGTAGCTGCTCCTGCCAATGTGAGATTGCCAAAATGAGCACCTCCAACTCAAGGTCATTGATGTGTAAAGGGCATTGTGCACTGGACCACAGCCCTGAGGCTGTCTGGTCCTGTAGGTGTGCACCAAATCCCTGGAGAGATGCGTCTACGAGGAGGTGTAGTTTCAGGGCTAGCCTGGATAAGGAGACGCCTCCTAAGAGGTTCGACTCTATCGTCCACCAGTTGAAAAGTGTTCTTAGGGAAAACAGTAGAGTGATGGCTGCATACGGGTCTTGACGCCTGATGTAAGGAGCCAGGAACTGTTGTATTGGGCATAGGTGTAATCGGTCTCTGCCTGTCAAGTACTGGGCTGATGTGAGCAATCCCAACAACACTTGCCATTGGCGAAGTGTGCCAGATTGTCGCAGGGCAGGTGACAAGTGGCATAGGATCTTTAGCCGTCTGTCCCTCTGCACTGATAGTCCTGATAGTCTGTCTGGAACAGGCCCTCTATGAACTGGAGTTGGAAAGAAGGAAGCAGTTCCCACTTCGCCTCGGTGACCTTCAATCCCAGTTGATATAGTCGATGCCTGGTGAAGTCCCGATGGTGCACCTGGATAGCTGTGTCCCTGTCCAGGGCTGCCCATTGGTAGTGGACCCCATAGAACTGGAACCTGAGAAACCTGCAGTCAGAGGGATGGATGGATGCAGGTACACATGCTACAAGTCGAGCCTTCAGGGAGTGGAAGGCGTTGATGCTGGTCCTGAGCAGTCTCAAGGTTGTGAGGCGGAGGCATGGTTGATGCTCCAGATAGCGCTCATTGAACATGGAGTAATTGAGGATCATCTGCATCTTGTCCTTCTTGGGTATCAGAAAGTTGGTAGAGTAGAAGTCTTAGTGCTGGGGCGTGTTCAATCTCTACAGCTCTCTTCTCCAGCAAGATGTCTATGTTGGATGGAGCCGTGGTCAACGGTGGGTCTACCGCTATGTTAAACCGATAACCTTAGTGCAGTGCGTTTAATACGAACGTATCCGCCAGTCCAACCCAGTCTTGCCTGAAGAGGCCAAGCCTCCACCTGTCAACGATCAGCACGCCAGAAAATTACAGACAGGTATGGAACCAACAATAGTGTCCGGCGCCATAGTATGTGGCCGCAAATGGGTTTCCACTGTCCTGGGAACCATACGTAACCCCCAACCCGAACGTCAATGGTTGAGAGGTGATAACTGGGGAGAGGTGGCAGGAAGACTCCTGCGAATCCTCGCGTGCCGACGGGACTGCTGTAGTTTATATGTGACCTGTCTGTAAGTGAGAAACCTGACGGGGAGAGAGGTGAACAAAAATTACATTTTACATTCGTAAGTGTATACGGCAGTGATGATGGGTCCTTTGCAAAAGTAGACAGAAAATGAAAACATCCTTTTTTCTTCACCAAGGACCATCACTAGGCGCTGTCTTCTTTGTGGTAAGGTTAGCAGTAGCTGCATAAAGGAGTAATGGAGGATAATTATATACAAAATAAATTATATTGATACAGACAGTAAACAAGGGTTTTTTAAACCAGTAGGTGCAATGTTTGTTTGTTTGTTGTTTACCGCCCACTCAGCAATATTTCAGCTATATGACGGCGATCTGCAAATTATCGAGTCTGGACCTGACTATCCAGTGATTGACATCATGACCATCGATGATTGGGTTGCTGAATACCTATTCTACCACGGATCTTCACACTGCATTTTGGGGGCGGGGGGGGAGGACCTATAGTAACCAATTGATGTTCCCCACTTCAGTGAAACCCACAAGTACTGGTATGGTACAAAGCAAGGATCAAAACAGGGGGAATCTCCCCCCTGAAAATCCAGGTTGGTCTTCAGCAACCAATGCTTTTCGTTAGAGGCGACAAACGGGATCGGGTGGTTAGGCTACCTGACTTGGATGATGATGTCATCATATTTCAAATGCATAGACCAGTTCTCATCTTAATCACTGGATTGTCTGGTCGAGTGAGTGAGTGAGTGAGTGAGTGAGTGAGTGAGTGAGGTTTTTAAGCCGCTTTTAGCAATATTCCCGCAGTATCATGGCGGAGGACACCAGAAATGGGCTTCACACATTTTACCAATGTCAAGATTCGAACCCAGGTCTTCGGCGTGATGATCGAACACTTTAACCACTAGGCTCCCTGACCACCCCTGGTACTTCAGTGGTACAATAGTAGTACACAACCAATACAACTTGCTGACAATGCAAAAAACTAGCATGAGGGGTGACTTTAGATTACTTGCCCACCTATGGCCCTACTGCATCACTAAGGGCACTTTTCATGTGCAGCGTCCTGGGATCCTTGAACATAGGAATCCTTTAAACCCTTGATTCTTAAAATTAAGACTTCCACTCTAAATTTCAAAAACTGACATGACACAAAATCTACCAAGGTTAAGAAAATGAGAATCAAAATCTATCAAAGGTTAGTTGCAGGTCAAACAGTATCCGTGTGTAGAGGTTGACCCAACCTGACGAAGTCCATGCCAAGCAGCCTCTCTGTGAGGTCATCAGGACTGTTGAGTTTATCCCACACCGCTTCGTTCCCGATACAGACTCCGTACTGGTTGGCCCCCATCTCTGCACCCCACATCCACGCCGGCTTACTGAGGATCACGGCATGTGTCTGGGGAACCTCATCGATCTCGATGTACGTACACTGGAAATGAAGTCTTTCTTCACAGAAAATATCCAGTAGTCATACATGAATGCAACACAATCAAATAAAGAATCACGGGGTTTCAGGTGAGTACATTAGCCAGGAAATTGACTGATTGTCGTCCAAAATGTCCTGGGACCCATTGCACAAAGCTATCTTAGCGCTAAGGTGATCCTAACTCCCATACTTTAACATAGACTTATGACAGTCGTAGCGCTAAGATTGCTTTGAGTACAGGGCCCTGAATATACTTTTCAAATTTTGTAATGACATAGAAGAATGTCTTATAAGAAGTTGATAAAATCATGACAATTTACTATTAACATCTGTATCCAGCAAAATCACTGCATGTAATATTATCAACTGTTACTAGTGTTAGTCCATGCAGTCCTTACAATTCAAAAATATTCCAATTATTTTATTTTAGGAATTTTGATGCAGTCCATAACATTGAGAGCACCTAGATAAATTCCTGCATCCTGTCTATAGATTGTTGCTATGGATACCTGAAGTTTGTTTGTTGTGTTTTCTCTGGCTGGATAAAACACCACCTCCTGCACCTCTGATTGGGGCCGGTCCGAGTTCTTGCCGAACACCACACAACCATTCTGTGTCGCTGGGGGGAGGGCAACAAATGTGTCACATGATGGCCAGTGGTGAGACATTGTCTTGTATGAGCATCTACTGGAAAAATAACATATACAACTCAAAAGAAGTTAAACAACACCCACAATTTGTTTGTTTGTTTTTTGTTGTGTAACGCTGTACTCAGCAACATATCAACTATATGACGTCAGTCTGTAATTAATCAAGTCTGGACCAGACAATCCAGTGATTGACATCATGAACATCGATTCACGCAATTGGGATACGATGACATACATCAACCAAGTCACCGAGTCTCACGACCAGATCCCGTTAGTCGCTTCCTACGACAAGGTTGGTTGCTGACTATCAATCCTAACCTGTATTTTCATTTTCATGGGTACCTGCCATTACATGGCTGTGTGCAATACCCACCACCCATGACAGATTAACTGTAGTCATATTAATGCGAATGTTGCTAAACTTCTTTTGGGTCGTTACTACACACAAGGGAGATACAACAATGAAGGCCATTTTAAAGTTAGTCAGTAAATACTCACATGTTACAATTTGTGCCCAAACCCTTTTGCGTCTACTAACCTGAACTCAGTGTAATTACCAGTTTTTTACCGGTAAAATTAGGCTTGGACCCGTAATTCATGTGGCTACCAATCCCTGTGGACCGGCAAATAAAGTACCTTATAAATATTAAATCAGTGATATTCATATTAGTATATCATGGTATATTTCTCCTCTTGTCTATTTTTTATGCAAGGAAATAACATTTTGCTTTGCTTTGAGGTTAAACATATACTTGTAGTGACTTAGTCTCGTAATATTCAAACACAAAAGAGAAAATTGTGACCAACTTTGTGTGAATGATATGTAGATCTAACTAAGTTACTTCAGAGATGATGTCATTGCATTGAACATGATGTTGAAAGAATTTAAAACAGACAATTTTTTCATTCATTTATTTATTTAAAGTTGGGACTGACAAAAATTAGGTGGGACTGTTAATTTTTGGAGTTGCAGTCTTGGTGGGCTGGCAGTTTCAGAACGCCAGCAGGGACACTGGAACTAACCGAGATATAGCCCTCTTGAGCATTATTCACTGCAGAACACTCACAACCAAAGAGATAAATGATTGGACAGGTCCTTTTTTGTGTAAAAACAGATCTTCAATATACTCAGGCTATTGAGGCTACCATTAGGGGTGAAACAAGCCATCGGTGCACCGGTGCATTGTGAGTTTTCATGTGATGATACGATACACGGTGTTTTATTCTGTATCAATACATGACGATACACTTGCTGAAATAAATTATTCACTATTTGTTTAATGACACCTGGCGTTTTTGTCAGTCAGATATCGCAAAATGTGTTGTGATTAGCGTTTGAATTTCATTACTAATACAAGCCACTACGAACATGTCTACATCTAGCTTTTCCTTTTGAACCTGCTCTAAAATATGTTTTGTCAAGAAGTTCCCATGCGACTTGACATAAATGTGAGTATCGCTATATGTATGGTATTGGGACCTATGTATCGTGATATGTATCGTATTGGGACCTTGCTGTATCGTTTCACCCCTAGGTACCATCCTCTCATATCCGGTATGTTCTAACTCCCTTCTATTATGATATATGCTCTGGACCCATTAGCCACCTGACTTTCGTTTTGAGGCTGCTTGGCATCTGTTAAGCCATGATCTAAACATGCTAAACCACAAGCGTTACCATCAGTACTCGTCTCAACTATTGGCAGCCATTGCAAACACAAATTGAGCGTCTTGTAGCATAAGATAGCGACCTCTCTCCCATGTCACAGTAGTCAGAAAAACATCTTTTCCAGCTCGTTTATAAAGTCTTGCTGTTCATTAATAAACTTCAGGGGCTTGTGCGAATGAGGCTGCGTTTTGAAGGTTGCTTTATGCCAAACTGTTTACCTCTTTGTTTGCTGACTGTAACTGTATCAACAGTTAGAGGTTACTCGGTCTACACAGAGACAATGTTTCAGCTTCATAAAGGTAACAATTACATTGTCGAGATGCAATCTCAGTAAAATCAGATCTCAGTTGTCGCTGCCGCTAAACAAAAATTTGAAGACATCCAATTACGGGTCACATCAGACCGACATTTCGCAAACTCTGACTGAGTGTGTCAGTGGTGTGTATTTTTTAACGTAACTTTGAAACCCTCATCTATAGCAGGCAAAGGCTTCAGAGCATGTGCTGTTTGTTTTTTTGTTTAACGTAACGCAGCACTCAGCAATATTCCTGTCATATGACGCCGGTCTGTAAATAATCAAATCTGGACCAGACAATCCAGTGATTGACATTATGAGCATCTATCTAGGCGTTTGGGATACGAAGACAAGTGTCAACCAAGTCAGCAAGTCTGACCACCCGATCATCATGAGTACCTGCAATTACAAGGTTGTGTGTTGCAATACCAATCAGCCATGACAGATTAACTGCTTGTTTGTTTGTTGTTTAACGTCGCACTCAGCAATATTTAAGCTATCGGAAGGCTGTCTGCAAATAATCTGTGTCTGGACCAGACAATCCACTGACATCATGGTATCTATCTAGGCAATTATGACCACCTGATCCTGCTAGTCGCCTCTTTCAACAAGTATAGTTGCCTCTCATGACAAGCATGGAATGCTGAAGACATACTATCTACCCGCATCTTCAAAGGTCTCAGAGCATGTGCAGTAATTAAGTATTGTTTGCAAATCAAGCGAAACTTGCAACATATTACAATCCTGGGACTCCATGTTCATACCTTGGACACAAAAATATGTATTACTGAATACATCGGGTCACAAAGATTGATACACCTGGTAAAACGTTGGAATGGAGATATACACTTGAGAATCATGGATAATGTGACATCATCATACAGGTTTTATTTTAGACATTGCCGACTATATTCTGGAAACTTCAAATGATTTTCTTTAGTTCAACATACTAGCATGGACATCGTGTTCAGTTATGATTTCGTAAACGACATCTGAACCAGGTGAAATCATGTAAACATTTGTAAAATAGATTCACAAAATGGTTGTTATCAGTTGATTATGCGCTCGTGTGCATACAAATAGGGAAGGAGTATGTATCCGTTGAGACAAAAGCATCGCTTACGAATCCGACAAATATGCATGTCTAAATCTAGTTCAAGAGCCACAAAACAGCTCCGGGAATGTTGCCTGTCAAAAACTATTCGGCGTGCTTATAATATCACACCCAAACAGGGCCTCAAATTGCCATTTCGCAATGATTGTAAAACGATCACGCACGGTACATGAACCTGCTACAGTCTCCGTGTAGTATTCCAATGTATATTTAGCTTCCACAGATCATTATTGTCGGCGTGCATGTACTTACGAGTTGCAGAATAATGTGCAGAAGAAAAAAACCGTCCGCCCGAAAGGATTTAGTGAACATGAGATAACTCTCGAGTCCGAAAAAGGGGTAGTGTGTTCCTAACTACTATCTGAAATGAGTATATATAAGTTCGCGCTGTAAACGTCTTCATTCAAATTATATACTTAAGATAAATATATTTCTTCCGCTAGCAAATAATCCTGTCAAGAAATTTAAAGGTCATGAAGCTTCTGTTTATATTTCTATGATATATTGTCCACCTCTCTATTCAGCATCTTAGCACTGGCATCTCTGTGACATGTATGCAGATAATTTACTCTAAAAATTAAATAGAAATAAATTTGTTTATTCAATTTCAATCTAATGCTAAAGAAAATGTCACCAACTCAATATCAGTTACAATTCCAAACAACAATACGTATTCGTCTTCAGTAGGCTTGTTAAATACTCATGATTAGATACATTCAAACGCTAATTCAAAATATATCCAAAATGCATTGATTTTTTCAAACTCTCTGAAGAGATGTGTAAAAGTCAAAATGTAGAAAAATCTTTTAGTCTTGAACGAACGCTACGTTTGGTGTTTAACGAGGCCTAATGGGGCACAATAGATACCTGTCAACAACATCTTTTAGCCAGAATACGATCTAGAGTTGCAACATAACCGTTATCACATCCTACCGGGTACCCCTTTACAGCGGAGTGGATGCACATTTAATAAAGAGTTTTGCTTACAGATACAGATAATGTCATTTACTGATGTGTCACTGTTTCATTGTTTTCCTTATATTTTAGCATTTGGTTTAAATTTGTCCGCTCAAACGAAATCGCGTTACCCCCAAAAGATTTAACTGAGTCGGCCTATAGTGGTTGAAGTTCATTCCTTGTAGCACACGTGTTGATATGGCTGGAATAATCCTAAAAGCTAGTAAAACCATATTCACTCACTCACTTGAATCAATGTACGCGTATTGGACGCAAACACAAAGCGCGAAGACGGCGCCAAATTTACATTGCGAAAACGTAATCATTTTAGAAGACGAAAATGATAAAAAGTATATTATAAGTTTGTTACGGGGTATTTAAAGACAAAATATTTAATCATTCACCATACATTTATACAACATGGACAGACAGAGCTTTAACAAAATATATACAGAAATATCATTCAACAATTCAACACAGACGTTTTCGGATTTTAACCAACTTCAAACCATATATTAACCATTCAACAAGTTATTCAACATTCTCAGCAAGTATTCGCATCATGTTTTCGTTGTTTGTTGTTTGACGCCGCACTCACCAATATGACGGAGGTCTGAAAATAATCGAATCTGGACCAGATAATCCAGTGATTGAAATCATGAGCATCGATTCACGTAATTGGGATACGATGACATGTATCCACCAAGCCAGCGAGTCTGACCACCCGATCCCGTTAGTCGCCTTTTACGGCCTTGGCTGGGATGCTGAAGACCTATTCTGACCCGGATCTTCATGGGTGTTCGTAATATATAATAGTACCCAACATTCGCATCATCACATCGTGGGTTTATTTGACAACAATAACCAGTCATCACCAGCCTCGATTATCCAGTGTATTATCTGTCCAGTCCGTTACTTATCAAGATAGATTTTCTGGATATTATGTTAGTCGTTAGTTCTCACGTGACCTGGGGCGGTGGGTAGCCTCTTGGTTAAAGCGTTCGCTCGTCACGCTGAAGACCCGGTTTCAATTCCCCACATGGATGCAATGTGTGAATGCCATTTCTGGTGTCCCGGCCGTGATATTGCTGGAATATTGCTAAAGGCGGCGTAAATCTATACTCACTCACGTGACCTGTAATGGGTTGACAGATCTTTGTGTAGAGGTTGGGGCGCTGGGGTAGCCGAGTAGTTAAAGGGTTCGCTCGCCACGCCGGAGACCCGGGTTCGATTCCCCACATGGGTACAATGAGTGTAGCCCATTTCTGGTGTCCCACGCTGGAATATTTATAAAAGCGGCATAAAACCATGCTCATTCACTGTTTAGCGGTAAGGAGCACTGTGATCTGAATTAAAACAAAAAGCATAAAAGAAGTGTTCAAGAACTGTCGCTTCCTTTCCAAGTTGACTGAATGAGTTTTGGCAGTTCGGCTGCAAAAGCACACGCAGGGCAGCAATCTTGGTGGCGTCTCGAAATCAGCTTACAAAACTAGTCACAGCACAGAAACAATCTGCTACATGTGCAGAATTACCTACTTTATACTGTTGATTGCGATCGCCGATTCTTGTCCTCGTGGACCTGTTAGCAGTATTTGACACAATAGACCACCCCACTCTCCTCAAGACGCTGGAGTCAGAGTTGGGTGTAACTGTTGAGGCTATATCATGGTTCACGTCATATCTCACGGGACGCCACCAGTCAGTGATTATTGATTGTTGTGGGATCTGAAAGAAGTGAATTGAAATTTAGAGAGCCGCGGGGATCTGTCCTTGGTCCAATAACTTTCCTAATATACACCCTACCAGTTGGAAGAATTGCAACATCTCATGACCTCAATTTTCATCATACACAGTTCTGTCTAGGATATAAACCATTGCCACCATCGTTGGTTTGTGAGACATTCCCGAGGACAACAGCCTGCATTGTTGACATCAAACGTTGGATGACGACATACTTCAAATTGAATTATGGCAAAAACTGAAATTTTGATCATCAGTTCAAAACTGATGCAGCCGTAGATTCAACACCCCAATATACGTTTTGGGGACAACATTGCTCAATCAAGCAGTCACGCAGGAAAACTAGGCGTGATCATTGATTCAACATTCAGACTGAGAAACCAGGTGAATAACATTTGCAAAAATATTTGGTATTTCTTACTGTAAACATGGCGTACTTAAAAACTGCTCATGAATGTTCAAACCTTGCACTTCGATGCTTATAAAAGCAATAAAAATAAAGATAACCCCATCTTCACATCAGTGGTACGACGATGAATACATTTTTTGTACTGACCTCATAAATTAAAGAAAAGGCTTCGGGGTCCCCGTTAAATATTTACATTTTTAGTGTATTTTCAGTAGAGTACTGATTTGACAACATAACAATAAGTACTTGTAGGAAAATACGATATCCTCGATTCTCGCGTGTACTCCATGATCTCGCGCGCTATTCGACGTGTAAAACGTTGTGAGTGCTCAGTTTTCGTGGTATGCAATGCAACCTAATCGACATAAATTCAAACACCACTCCGTCTGAAATAAAGAAGTCGGAACCAACTAAATACCACCTCATTGGGGTCACTGTTTCAAATTAACGAAACACTCCTAGTAAATACTGTCAACAGAAACACAACAGCTGATCAAGAGATCTGTCAACAAAAGTCAAAACGTGGTTACAAGTTATTGCTGAAAGTTACGTCCTCCAAGTTGTATACCGTAAGTAAAATCTTGGCAACAATACAGTTTACCGGGCGCAGCCCGAGCTCTACCATCCGCTCAATTACCGCGCTATAGTGCTGTCTCGTCATACCGTTATCGTGCCTCACGCTCTGGTGACTCTCGCTTCACGACCCAACACCCGTTTTCGGTCATAGGGAAACTTACACATCTTTACAATCAAACACCCGTTTTCGGACTTAGGGAAACTTACAAATCTTTACAATCAAACACCCGTTTTCGGTTTAAGGGAAACTTACACGTCTTTACGATCCAAAACCCCTTTTCTGTCATTAGGGTTAGCTTGCTTTGGGCAAGGGTTAGCCATAAATTCTTACCTTTTCAAGCGTTAATCCGGTCAATCCCATTGGTCGGTCGTGTTGACATAAAAAATTGCGGGTGTGGTTTCAAGAAAAGATGAATGGGAGAGCGGACCGTGACGTCACACGCATGCGCAATTCATTGTTTACTGAATTACGCATGCAAGTCAATAGTGATTCTAATTACCCGTTAAACGAGCACTGATTACATGTGATAGCGCCTGTGGTCCAGTGGTACAGCGTCGGCTAATTAACGCATTAATTAGCAGAGCCGGTGAGCCGGCGAAGCACGTTTGAGCCCCCACAGCGCTAATTTGATCTTAAAAAGTGCGCCCGGTAAAGGGCACTACTTGGTAACAATGCAGTTTACCGGGCGCAGCCCGAGCTCTACCATCCACTCAATTACCGCGCTATAGTGCTGTCTCGTCATACCGTTATTGTGCCTCACGCTCTGGTGACACTCGCTTCACGACCCAACACCCGTTTTTGGTCTTAGGGAAACTTACACATCTTTACAATCAAACACCCGTTCTCGGTCATAGGGAAACTTACACGTCTTTACGATCCAACACCCGTTTTCGGTCTTAGGGAAACTTCCACTCAATTACCGTGCTATAGTGCTGTCTCGTCATACCGTTATCGTGCCTCACGCTCTGGTGACACTCGCTTCACGACCCAACACCCGTTTTTGGTCTTAGGGAAACTTACACATCTTTACAATCAAACACCCGTTTTCGGACTTAGGGAAACTTACAAATCTTTACAATCAAACACCCGTTTTCGGTTTAAGGGAAACTTACACGTCTTTACGATCCAAAACCCCTTTTCTGTCATTAGGGTTAGCTTGCTTTGGGCAAGGGTTAGCCATAAATTCTTACCTTTTCAAGCGTTAATCCGGTCAATCCCATTGGTCGGTCGTGTTGACATAAAAAATTGCGGGTGTGGTTTCAAGAAAAGATGAATGGGAGAGCGGACCGTGACGTCACACGCATGCGCAATTCATTGTTTACTGAATTACGCATGCAAGTCAATAGTGATTCTTATGACCCGTTAAACGAGCACTGATTACATGTGATAGCGCCTGTGGTCCAGTGGTAGAGCGTCGGCTAATTAAAGCATTAATTAGCAGAGCCGGTGAGCCGGCGAAGCACGTTCGAGCCCCCACAGCGCTAATTGGATCTGAAAAAGTGCGCCCGGTAAAGTGCACTACTCCCAAAATCTTGAATGTAAACTTGTCTGTTTAAATATTTTATAAAATCCCGCTTTGCTTCTTTGACACCCTTTACTACCCTTGACTTGAGTCAAAGACGTGATGGGTCCTCTCTCAGTTCCATATTTTAAAAAACGGAAGTGACGTCACAATCGAGTCCGAGTAGCTGGTAGGCAAAATGACTGATGACCAACAAAAATTGGGTAGATATGTGAACTCATTGTTTTCTTTGGTCCTTATGCTGGAAAAACAAGTGAGATGATTCAAAATTGGGGTAAAAAAAAAATTTGAGCAGTGTCGACGATTCGTTTTGGGTTTATTGAGGTTTACTTTGTAAATACACTGTGTACTTTGTGTAATTGTGTAAAATGCACACACAACTTTTTACAGGCAATAAACTCAAAAACATATTGAAGTCGATTGTTATGAATATATGCATGAAAAATAATAACTTCACAGACTGCTTAAATTCAAAGGGACAGTACATAGACCGTTCTGAGTGTTTTAAATCACATATGAAATAATTTCCGAGTGTGAAGTCACATCACCAATTCAATTCTTCAATAAAAAAACCAGAGCTCTGCACAGTGAAGCCGACAAAAAAACACAAGCACTGTGCTGAGTAAACTGGCTTTTGTCATGTTTCTTATTAGAGGCAAACTGAAGAGAAAGATCGTGTGGTTTTCTTATGGCTGAGTTACAAAATACAAATTGCCAGCTTTATTAGATTAGAAGTCAGTGTTTATCAAAGCCTGGACTACAATAGAAATATGCCTTGTTTGTATGAAGCCAGTCACTCTCCTCCCCAGAGTTCCTTGCGGCCAGCCGAGAACCTCATTGTCACATCGTCGCGTCTTACACAGTTCATTCCTGTGTTTTTCATTTGTTTCATTTTGGATGAGTCTAGACATTCAGAAAACCACAAGTTATGAAATGTTAACTTTCATTAAGAAAAAATCCCAAAACGTGAAAAAATATTTCCATTTGCATATTTATCCTTCATGTACGGTCTTTGAATCCCTTTCAGAAAGCAAGCGATATATTCAGAGAGCGATATATATATATATATATATATCAATTACATCGTTCAGCGCAACAATCCAACAAATCCCTCACCCACTCAAGTATCAGCCATTCTGGAAACAGTAGTCAGTTGGTGGATGTGGCCTCGTTTTTTATTTGTTTATGGAAACATAGACACAAAACAAATTGCTTGTTTAACCAATCAAATACCACGAGACACCATGCCTACCCGTAACCTTCGTCACCAAATCAACCTTTCCCGTTCATTTCCGTATCATGTTAGGCATGACTAGATAGATTTGCACTTAGGTTAACAGTGTGGACTTAGCTCAGTTGGTTACCTGGAGATCGCAAGTTAAAGTCTGACAGATTCTCGAAAAGTCTGGTTGTTATCTTAGTGACATGTGACCTATGTCAGAGATCGTCCTCGCAAGTTGTGCTACTGTAGTCTAAAGGTGCTCTCTTTATTTGTATAGACCTAAGCACTAGTTTTATACAATGATCAATGGTTCTGATTACATGACGGATCCTAAATTAAAGTTCTGACCCCTTTTGTTTCAGTGGGAGAATTGTAATTCCACTTTGTGAAATTTAGTAACATTGGAGTCGAATATCAGCCTCTGATGAATCTAGATAAATCCCTGGAGGTATGATGCACTGGATAAACGAGGATGGTGTACATGAAGAATGTGACTGTCAGACATAGGGCAATATCATTAAGATCCAATCTTTTATTCCAATATCAACAATCAGCACAAAGATAGGAAGACACTGATTTTAATGAGATTGAGGCGTTGGGTAACAGATACACATTTTGAGGGATTTATCAAGGATTTAAAACTAATGCCCTTGCCAGGCAAATTGGGGAAACAATGATTATTTTGTTCAAAATTGGGATTTTTCAAAGTCTCATTTTCTGAAACTCAGATAGTTTTAGCATTGTGTAACATCCTGGTATCTTCTCACAGATGACATCAGTGTTCCCGGTTACCAGTAATTACCAGTTGTTTACCGGTAAAATTAGGTTTGGACTGATAATTCATGTGACTGTCAGTCCCTGTGGACCGGCAAATAAAGTACCTTATAAATCTTTGTTGTTGAACAAAGCACCATAACATACTTATCTTAAATGAATCTTCATTTGTGACTGCTTTTTCTTCTGTTTTGGGTGCTAACTGTTACTTCACCAGCAACTTCCCATATCACAACAAACGCGCCACATCACTCAGATAAAAGCATCTGCCATACGGCTCAATCTTTGCCCATCGGCTAAACAGTCCAATGCTATGTGAATTCATATCCTTGAGAAAATATTTAACAAGTGGTAAAATCTGCTCGCTTGTGTGATGTGAAGATGTCGATGGTTCAACACAGCCAATGAACACTACAAGCCACCTTCCTCACGTGACTTCGTGATACCACATTCACGTGTAATGTACCTGGCGGTGGCAGGCAAACCCTTATCATATTAAACCTATAATAACTTAATTTCTCAGATAGGAACGTATGTGCTTTTGTTTGTTGAAAGTTGGGACTGACAAAAATTAGGGGGGACTGGCAATTTTTAGAGTTGCCGGTCCACCAGGACTGACAGTTTCAAAAGCCAGCGGGAACATCCTTACCTTGCCAGCTTGCTGATGGGGATACCCTCTTTGGTCATGTGGACCAGGCGTCAGACCTCAGATCAGAATGTATGTGGTTTGAATTCAGTCACAGGGCTTGGAAATTTTGTGGCCACTCCACAGACATACTCTGTAACATCCAACAGGACTTGCAGTTTAAATAATTTGCATTTGTTCACAATTTGTATGCAAACTGTGGGTGCAAATTTTGCAATATTATGCAACCTGTAAAACCCTGACCATTTTTTAATATATATTTTATGCACATGCCTCACAGCTCCTTATAAAAACATAATTTTAAGCGTTAATTTCATAAGATACCTCTTCAAGATTTCATTTTTTGTTCGTTGTTTTATGCCTGACTCCCCAATATTTCAGCAGTATGAAGGCCGTCTGGACCATACAATCCGGTGGTGGACATTATGAGCATCAATATTTGCAATTGGGATACAATGAGATGTATCAACCAAGTCAGCAAGTCTGACCATCAGATCCCGTTAGTCGCCTTTTACGACAAGCATGGGTAGCTGAAGACTAATCTAACCTGCATCTTCATGGGTCATTGAGATTTGGTGGGACTGATACTTATTGACATCTGTAAACTGAGTTTGTCAAAACCTTGGTGATTGTTTACATAAATCACTAAAGAAAGTTAATTGCAGCAATTTCCATTTGCAAAATGATTATAATATTTTCATGACTCTCGCTAAGATTTCCTTCCCCACCCCATGATATGTGAAAGGCTCCTAATTATTGCTTACATGTCTGCCTCCATGGTCTAGTGGATAGAGCGCTTTCCGAGAGAGCTGAAGGTAGTTGGTTCGATCTCTGGCCGGTCATACCAAAAGATGTTAAAAGATGGTTCTTGATGTTACCCTGTCTGGCGCTCAGCATTAAGGGGCTAAAATAAGGACTGGTCGCCTCGGAGTCAGTATACTGTGTCTGAGTTGGGTGTCCCGTGTTAAACGGCAGCATCGTATTTCAGTGGGCTAGGACTATAAACACGGCATTTGTCTTGACTAGTACAAGTAGACACACACACGCAGCACAAACGTTGCTATACAAGTGCAATCATTTTGAACATGATGTTAAACCCCATTTCACCCAATCTGTTACTGTTGACCTGTATACAAGTAGGTGCCATGCACACATACTAAAGCCCTGTGGAGATTCAGGGTAATATTGGTCTTAAGCAATCTATGCTGAATGTAAAAGGTGACAAAATGGATCAGGCTGGGTGACTTGCTTAATGGCATGTCATCATACCCAGGGGATCATTTATCATAATGTCCTTCACTGGATTGTCTGGTCCAGACTTGATTCTTTACAGACCGCCGTCATATTAATTGTTTGAAAGGCATTTCTTAGAAATAGACAGATGACAAAGTAGACACAATGTATGGATAACAACTTCTTTGTTTTACTGTAATAGTGATGTTTCATTATAGATCCTTATACCGTTGTCAAGCGAGGCTGATTGTGAGCTGGAATATTGCTGAGTGGGTCGCTAAACAAACAAACAAACAAACAAACAAACTGAAGCGGCAATTGTTTGATTTTATGATGGTCCGGTATAGTTTAAGAATAATAAGCTACTACAAACAGAGGATTTGTTTTCCAGAAGAATGGCCAGCAAAGTGAGTTCCCCTTCCGCGGACTGCTATCTCCAGTTTGCCCATGAGCTGCGGGAAAAGTGTCACAGACTGGCCCACATCAAAGGGGCACGGAAACTCGAACGCAAAATCATCGCAGAGGTCAAGTTTTTGAGAAATGTGAGTACTTTCAGAGCAAATTCCTTTTATCAGTTGCTTAGTTTTGCGTGCAAGCAGTGTCTGAAACTCAGCAGAGTAAACTGAGAGCCTTAAGGGCCAACACATTTAGAAAACTGTAGGCCCTACACGTTGCAAAACACAACCAGTCAACCAGACGCTTTTACTGCTATCACACCGAGTTCCCAGAGACTCTTGTGTGATATATGAAGCCAACATTTATCAAGGAAATTATCTGCTTGTAAAACATCTTTGCGACAACATGTCATTTAAAAGGTCTGACCCTACTGTTATAAATATAAAGGTTATGTTTAACCCACTACTTAAATAATGCTAAATAAAAAATTACTATGTAAACTGCAGGCCGTAAATGCCTGCTGAAATTTAAAACTATCAGCCTGAGAACAAATCTGTTGGCCTCGGGCCTATCGGCCAATGTCTATTTTGAACACTGCCGGCAAGTCCTGGTGGGAAAAAAAAATAATAATTTTTTTTTAAAATTTCAGATTTTTTCTCTATGTGTGCATGTGTAAGTCAAACTTGACTTGCAGGTTTACATACCATATTTCTTCTATTAGACACTTAGGCGTTAATTAATTTTGCTCAAGTCGTTGCCAAAGTGTCTATTGGAGACCTGGTGTCTATTCTGTGAAATGCTGGCACAGCGGCAACGACTACCTTACTGAATTCCAATTTATTAGTTAGTCACCATTAGTAACCAACATACTACAGTAGAAAAATAGGAAACTGTTATCTTATATCTAATAGAGGCCCAGCTTTTGTTTTTTGTGGACAGAACATATGGCCTGGCATTGGTTAGAGGCTGGTGTGTATTGGACGCCCATGTAATAGAGTAAATACGGTATATGTACACTTTCTTGTAGTGAAAATATTTTTCATTTGATAGACATAAAACATTGCTTTTTGAATTTTAGTTTATTTCCACTATTAATTGTTTAGGGTGTGGAAGATTTAATAAAAAACAAGTCAGTTATTCACAAGACGAGGGACAATCTAGCAGGACTTATTGTTTCCCAGCGGTAGAAACTACTATTTTAGTCCAGTAGTTCTTATAATGATAACATATAGCAAAACACTCAAAATGGCAAATTTCTACTAGTCCTTATGATACCCTTACTATTGGGCAGTTTAAATCATGGATCTTTTATCACATATTGTTTGAAGAAGCAGAACAGCAATAACATATGTATCTCTTTCTCATATTTGTTTCTTGCCAGGATCAGTGTTTGAATAATATTTTGAATGCTTGACTGTGTGTATGTTTCGTTATATTTCTTAAAAATCACCTTGGCACCATTTCCAATACTTGTATTTAATTTTCCCCAAATGTATACATACATTGTCTTCAGAATGTGAGGGTGACCATTGCCCTGGCTGGCCATCCTCCTCATGTTACAGGGAAAAGGTGAAATAAAATGTATAAAACAAAAAAAACTATTGGGCAGTTTGGCAAGGGCTGGAGGATGAGGGCCAATTTCTAACGCTGTTTCCTGACCATGTTCCAGGGGGTGTTACATTGAGCAACTTCTCTGATGTGACCTCTTGGCCTTGCTCCACAAAGCGATCTTCGCAGTAAGGTCTACGACAGTTGCAGCGCTACGATCATTGTGTGGAATGGGGCCCTGGCTTCCGTTCCACAAAGCGATCTTAGCCCTACGACTATCATAAGCCTATGTTAAAGTATGGGAGTTACGATCACCTTAGCGCTAAGATGGCTGTGTGGAACGGGGCCCTGGACTAGAAGCACAACATCTGTAATGAAGGCAGTCTATTGGTCCCTTCATATGCTTCTGTAATATTTTAATCACAGTACCCACAAAGTACCCACAGAATTATGCCAATCACTCAATCTGTATATCAAATAGTGATGTGAATCATATCACCACCCCCTATGCCTAGAACACAGTGGCATCAAATGCATTTATAGGAGTTGTCTCCCTTGGACCAGAGACCTTGGAGGGAATAGTCAATGTTCACCATACTCTCATTGGCCAGCACCTGACCACCTGACTGGTATATTTTGGAGTTTATCATAAGTATGTTATGATCATAAAATATATATATTTAAAAAAGTATTTTTGACAGAATTAATAATTATAGTTAATATTCTAAATCAGGTGTGATGTTTTCCTGACACTCCTATGTTCCTTATGAGGAAGACCACCTCCGTGGTCAGTTGGTAGAGGGTCTGTTTGTGAGGTGTAGTGGATGGAGTGTCTGCCTGGAGAGTGGAAGGTCAGTGGTTCGATCCCCGGCCGCATCATACCAAAGGATGTTAACAGATGGTACTTGTTGTTAACCTGCCTGGCACTCATGATCAGCCAAACACACACATACACACACATGCTGTATAAGTGCAATAATCTTGATTGCAACGTTAAACCCCGTTTCTTCACCACCACCTTATAAGGAAGTCTATGGCAAAGTTGCTCACCATTTTGCGCTGCGCTATTAATACTTAACAACAAAGTCTTAGTCCTAAAAACATACAAATCTATACCTTGAATCACAAAATAGCTCCCACTTTCACGGCAGTTGCTTTGCCAATTTCTGGGGCCAACTAATCAGATTTTCTGATGTACAGGACTCCTTGCAGTGGTGCTATATGGCAGTGTGTTTTATTGTTAAACAATTATTGTAACTGTGTCACATTGTTTCTGTTTAGATTTGGTAGACGCTCATGGCATTGTGTTTGGACAGTGATTAGTTGTCAGGAATGTAGTTCTATTTAATGTAAGCAGCTTTGAGGAAGTTACTATGTTTAGATGCTACTGTCATGTGTGAACTTCTGGAATACCATGGATTGAGATGGAGAGTAATAGAAACATGCGGAATATTTTTTGTTTGTGAGGGCACTGTGTAGAAATTTCCAATAGCTAGTTAGACTGTATAGAAGGGGACAAGAGCCTGCCTCTCGTATCTCTCACACATTTCATCACATGAAGACCGGCTGTCTTGTGAGGATCGCACTTTACCCGTAACATTGACACGTAACAGTGGGCAAATCCTTTTGCAGTGTAATTGACTTTGTTTCAGATTTCCTTATCCACAAGAGTAAAATCGCAGGTAAATCTTTTAATGGTTGTGCTGACTTAGAAATACTACAATTGATCTCTTAGTCTCTATAGTGAACAGCTTTTAATCTGACAATGATCAACCTGAAAGTTACATGATTATTTCCACTGAATACATTTTTGCAAAACTGATTTCTGTTGTTACTATGATTCCATTTAATTTCACTTTGGCTCCATGATAAATGAAGACCTTAAACAGGCAACTATTTGACAGGGCGAGATCCAGGAGTTGTCTGCCCTGTAGTCTGGCTGAAGATTGGGAGGAATTTCAGACTCTGCATCAGGGTCGTCATCCTTTCACAAACAGTTATGTACCCGTGAAGATATCCGGGGTGGAATAGGTCTTCAGCAACCCATGCTTGCTGTAAAAGGCGACTATGCTTGTCGTAAGAGGCAACTAATGGGATTGGGTGGTCAGGCTTGCTGACTTGGTTGATGTATATCATGGATCCCAATTGCGTGGATCGATATGCATGATGTCAATCACTGGATTGTCTGGTCCAGACTCGATTATTTACAAACCGCCATCATATAGCTGGAATATTGCTAAGTGTGGCGTTAAACAACAAACAAACAAACAAACAAACAGCAATATAGGATGCATATACATGAGTTGTCTCCCTTGGACCAGAGGCTGTTGTTGTCTTGTGTACAAATCCAACATATTGTAATCAGAGTTATAATCATCATTTTCATTTTCATCCTCCAATCACCATCATCCTCATGATAGACTCAATTGGCTGCAGTGCCTGGCCAGGTTCACCATTGACTTCTAACAATGTAGTACATCCCATATGATGATAGCGACAATATTGCTAGAAGTAGCGCACTAAGCACAATATCAGTGCATCGTATTGTGTGTGAGAGGCATTGTTATATACAAACATGGCATTCACAAGTTAATGATTATAAACATCTAGAATTTTATTCGTCACTCAAAACAGCATTTGTTATTGAACCGTATATTTTAAAAATCACTTGTAAAGAACTACCGTATTTTCTTGAGTATAGTGCGCACTTTTTTTCGAAAAAACCCAGCTGTGTAGAAGGGGGTGCGCATTATACACGAATTATGAGTTTGGATGTTTTTTTCCCCCATGGTAAGAAGAATGTTATCACTATTAGGAATTGGAGTATTAATTATCATGGTGAATTTTGGAAGAAAAAGTAATATTGATTTTAATTTTAGATTTTGTCCTTTTTGTAAGAACATCATTGAAACTGAATTATATTTTATGCTATCATGTCCATTATATGATGATATCAGACAGAAACACATTCCAAATATATATTGTAAATCTCAGTTATTTAAGCATATAAGCTCAGGCAAACTAACTGATTTACTTCAATGCTGTAAATATATTAAAGAGGCTATTGTATTACGTTCATCCCATTTGTAATACTTGTTTAATGTTGCACCAATATGTATATTCTATAATGTATATTCTATATGTCAATATTTATTTGTACATGGGCCTGTGGCCTTTATACTGAATAAAGAAATTGAATTGACTTGAGAGGCATTCAGTCTGAAACAGACACATGTAATGGGTTTCATACCCCCATATTTTGTCAACATGACAATTAATTACCGGTAATAAGTTAAAATTCTCTGTAAGTTCGGACATGCCTTTATAATTAGTGTCACTTCCTTAACACATTCCAGTCCTGGAGATTTTGTGTTTGTCTTCTCTGGCACCTTGATGTCACAAACAAAGGGAAAAAGAATTGAGAAAAGCGCAGCATATTGCCTTAATGTAGTTATTGTTAGAGGTATTATTTAAACACAGTTGTGATGTTAGGGACCATGTCAAAAGTTCGATGTCCAATAAAAATATGTATTCATGAAGTGAGCTACTAGATCTTTGCGGCATGATAGTGTCATATTGTGTGTTTTATAAAATATAC